AAAATAATTACGAATCCCACATTTGTGAGGAAGCTATGAAAAAAGATGTGAGGGAAATACTGTACAATCAGCAATTTTCCAATAATATATATACATAAACGGCAGAAAAAAGGTTTTAAAATCAGCAGCCAAGTTAGAAAAAAAAGATTTGGACGTGCAATCATATTATTTTACTTCAAAAATTCATTTGATCTAACAAGGTAAAATACTTTTGTGCAAGTGGTTCATTTCCATATATTTTTATATTCAGTAATATATGCATGATATGCTTGTAGATCTTCGAGGGGTTCGACTTAACGAAATGTGAATTCTATTGGGGTTTTTTATAACGTAATATAAAATCTTTCGGGAATTCAAAACACTAATGATGGGTGTCTCGTTTCGTCATCGATATAATCCATAAAAAATGTGGTATGAAGTGTTAATTTTATTGCTGTATAATTGTGTATGAAAACTGCACGGTCTTATTGAGTATTTTTAAATACTCACTTTTACAATAATTTTTCAGGTTAGTTTGGATCGAGTGGAACTGTGGCGAGATGGTGATGCGGACTGCCAAGAAGATTCGAAAAATTAAAAGTATTAAGTTTTCCATATTTCAATTGATTAATTAGTTTTAATCTACGTTCCAGGACCTGTCTATTTAATAGTTAGTTGGCTATACTTATTTTTTAAAGATACGATTTTCATGATTTAATTTATATTTATGAATATTCCAATTATTTTTTCTAAAGAATTTTATTTTATCGTTCCGCCTTTAATACAAAAAAAAGTATTTTTTTGGTAACATTTTAAGATTTATGAAAATTTGAAGTGTTACAATGGATGATATAGACATCTGTGCATATCTTCCTACTCTTGTTTACAGAACTTGCAAGACGTGTTTTTCTAACTCTCAAGAACGAAAAGATGCGGGAAGCTTCGAAATTTTTATGAGCAGTTGTTTTCATTTAATAAGCTTGGACTTGGTAAATATTTAATTTAATGATGCCATTATTAGGTAAATCATTTCAATTTAGCAAAAGAAATGTCAACACAGAATTCAATGATTTTACTAGAGAAGTTCTATTTGAAGTCACACGTTTCCCAGATGAGCATCCTAAAGCATTTATTTACACTAAAACTTAAGAACTTTGAAATGGTAGCATAGTGAAAGGAGTACACAAGTCTAGATTTTAAATTAAGTGACTTTCTCTAAAGCTAACTATTCTGTATTGATACCTACGGTTTAGTATTATTTATTGGGAAAAATTCACAAGTAGAAATTTAAGTATAACACATTTCAAAATTAAGAAAACAAGTTTCAAACTTCAAAAAACATATTTTTATAAAAATTTATTTATGATTTAATTAATTAGTTAATTATTTTATTAATTAAATATATTTAAGTTACAGATCTATATAATTTGATCACAAATTAACAATTTAGTTAGTCACTTATTATTTTTTGGTCACAAATCAGAAATTTTATATTATAAATTATTTTAGGTCACAATTCAAAAATTTTATAGGTTATAGTTTGTTTATCGATCACAAATAAAAAAATTATAAGTCACGATTTATTTATTGGTCACAAATCACAATTATTATAATTCACAATTTATTATACAATTATAAATGATCAAACTATCGATCCCAAATTAACAATATTATACGTCACATATTATTTTTTGTCACAATTTATATTTTTACTGGTCACATCTTGTTTATTAATAACAGATTAACCAATTTTATGGTCACAGTCAACCAAATAATTTATGATCACCACCAACACTTACGAACATCATCTCACCACTACTTTTAGAGCACCACCACCATCGTTGTCGCCAGAACCATCACTATTGTTGCATCCCATTACCGCCAACATGAACACCACAACATCACCACCAACAAAATCGCCACCATCAGATCAAATCAATTGCCAACAAAAATCACGACAACCACCACTATTAGATCTCCAGCCACCAACAACCACCACCACCACCAGAAATCGCCACGACAGCCACCATCAAACACACCAACAATACCCAACCAACAACCTCGCCAACACTACCCACATCAACACTGCCAACATGAGCACCTTGTCGCCAGAAACCACCACGACCACAACCACCAAACACACCAACAATACTTAACCCACAACCTCACCAACATAACCAACATCTCCACCGTCAACACGACCACCGTCGAAAACCATCACAGCTACCAAGACCATAACCATAGCTAGAAATCACCACCAAATACACCACTCCACAACCTCACCAACACCACCCACACTAGCAACACAAGGAGAAGCAACAAAAGCATCTAATCCAAAAGCAACGACATTATCCTTGGCCTTGATGGTGACATCATCCCTTATGAAACGTTGCAGCGCCACCAACCATGCACTCGCCAAAGAAAAGACAAATCTGCAAGAGCATGGAAAATGAAGAGGGGAGCAAAGAGAGAGATGTAGGACGCATGATTTCTTCACAGATCGTTGTAGCATCGGCAACCATGCATACACACCTCCGACATGTGTCTCGCCAGAGAAAAGTTGAATCTGCAGTGGCAGTGGGTCACCGGACCGATGACAGAGAATGTGGAGAAGGGAGATGAGAGAGTACAAAGAGAGGGGGGTTTGGAATAGAATATGGTAGATTAATTAATTTTTATATATACTAATTAATTTATAAAATATCTGATTTTTGAAATAGTAAACTTCAAATATGATTTATGAAATGGGATCTCTAAAAGTATTAGTTTTTGCGATTTCCACTTTTTTATTTCTTTAAGTCGGGCCTTTTTTCCTTCAATTTTAAGCCCATGACCCATGCATGTTTTAGCCACCATTTTATATAAGGGAGAATCTCATATACCAGACAGTAAACAATTCCAATTTCATATTTAAGAGTTGAAGGTTATTGTTTCAAATATATATATATATATATATATATATAGAGAGAGAGAGAGAGAGAGAGAGAGAGAGAGAGAGAGAGAGAGAGAGAGA